AAAGCATTCCAAATAAACTAGAGAAGCTGGGAAGCATCAGTGGGTAGAGAATATAGAGCACTGCAAGTTCATTATTGAAAGCTGTAGTACATTTTCAAAATAATTTTTAATGAGATTAAAAATATATATTAGTTACTCCCTGATGAATATAGATGCAAAAATCCTCAACAAAATACTAGAAAACCCAACAGCATATTGAAAAAAAAAATCATACAACATGACCTAGTGGAATTTATCCCTGGATGTGAAGATGGTTCAATAAACTAAAATCAATTAATATAACGAACCACATTAACAGAATAAAGGATAAAAATTACATGATCTCTCAACAGATACAAAAAAAGCATTTGATAAAGTTCAACACTTTTTCAATGATAAAAATTCAACAAATTAGGAATAAAAAGGAAGTATCACAACATTATAAAGGTCATATAAGAAAAGCCCACAGCTAACACCATATCCAATGGTGAAAAACTGAAAGTTTTTCCTCTAAGATCAGGAACAAGGCAAGCACAAGGATGCCCACTCTCACCACTTCCATTCACCAAAGTATTGGAAGTCCTAGTGAGGATAATTAGGCAAAAATAATAAATTGGAAAAAAAGAAGTAAAACTATGCAGACAACATAGTATATATAGAAAACCCTAAAGATTCCATTAAAAAGAACAGTTAGAAATAATAAATTCTGTAAAGCTGCAGTATACAAAATCAATGATACAAAAATTAGATGTGTTTCTATACAATAATAAAGATCTGAAAAGGAAATTAGTAAAACAATCCCATTTACAATAGCAGCAAAAATAACATAACTAAGAATAAAGATAACTAAGGAGGTTAAAGACGTACTGAAAACTACAAAACAGTGATGAAATTAAAGATGACACAAATAGAAGGGCATCTCGTGTTCATAGATTGAAGACTTAATATTAAAATATACATTCTACCTAAAGTGTTCTACAAATTCAATGCAATCCCTATCAAAATCCCAACAGCATTTTTTACAGAAATATAAAAAACTATTCTAAAACTCATGTTGAACTACAAAAGACCATGAATAACCAAATATGTCAAGAATCAACAAAGTGGGAGGTATCATACTTCTCTATTTCAAAACAACACAAAGCTACGGTAATAAAAATAGCATAGTACTGGCATAAAGAGAAGACATACAGACCAATGGAACAGTAAAGTGAGCCTGGAAATAAATCCACACATTTACAGTAAACTGATCTTCAACAAGGGTGCCAATGGGGAAAGCATAGTCTCTTCAACAAGGAGTACTGGGAAAACAGGATACCCACATGCGAAAGAAAGGAGTTAGACCCTTACACCATACACAAGTATCAACTTAAAATGGATTAAAGACTTAAACATAAGACCTGAATCTATAAAATTCCTAAAAATAAACATAGGGTATAAGCTCCATAACATTAGTCTTGACTATGATTTCATGGCTATGACATCAAAAGCATAGGCAACAAAAGCAAAAACTAAACAGCTTCTGCACAGCAAAGAAAACAATCAACAGACTGAAAAAGCAACCTTACAGGGGTGAGGAGCAAATATTTGCAAACCATATATTAACATATGATAAGAGGTTAACTTCTAAATATATAAAGGAACTCCAACAATTCAGTAACAAAAAAAACCCTAATAACCCAATTTAAAAATGGGCTACAGATTTCAATAGACATTTCTCTGAAGAAGACATACGAATCACCAAGAGGTATATGAAAAAATGCTCAACATCATTAATAAGGGAAATGCAAATCATACCCACAGCGAAGTATCACCTCATACCTGTCAGGATGGCTAATATCAAAAAGACAAGTGTTGGTAAGCATGTGGATAAATTAGAAACCCTCTACATTGTTATTGGGAACGCAAAATAGTACAGCCGCTATGAAAAACAGTATAAAGGCTGCTCAAAAAATTAAAAATTGAACAACCACATAACCCAGCAATTCCAAAAGAACTGAAATCAGGATCTTGAAGAGCTGTTAGCAATCCCATGTTCACTGCAGCACTATTCACAATAGCCAAGGTGTAGAAACAACCTAAATATCCACTGACAGATGAATGGATAAAGAAAATGTAGTATATCCATACAATGGAATATTATTCAGCCTTTAAAGAAAGAAATTCTGCAATATATGACAACATGAATGAAACTTGAGGACATCATATTATAATAAATGAAATAAGCCAGCCACAGGAAGACAAATACTGCAAGATTCAACTTATAAGGGATCTACAATAGTCAAACTCATAGAATCAGAGTGGAATGGTGGCTGCCAGGGACTGTGGGGAGAGAGAAATGAGAAGTTACCAATCAATGGGCACAGAGTTTTAATTAAGCAAGACAAATACATTCTATTCTATAATATTGTATGATCTGCTACAATAATATTATATTATACCTGCTGTATCTATTACTGTATTGTACACTTAAAATTTTGAGAGGGTAGATCTCATGTTAAGTGTTGTTACCACAATAAGATAAAAATTTAAAAATATATATCAGTTACATAATCATGAAATTATTTGTTTTAAAAAATTCCATGATGTAACTCTTCATTTGCTAAATTTGCTCAGCCCATTCAACAAACAATGTATGGGCCGGGCACAGTGGCTCACGCCTGTAATCCTAGCTCTCTGGGAGGCCGAGGCGGGCGGATTGTTTGAGCTCAGGAGTTCGAAACCAGCCTGAGCAAGAGCGAGACCCCGTCTCTACTAAAATTAGAAAGAAATTAATTGGACAACTAAAAATATATAGAAAAAATTAGCTGGGCATGGTGGCGCATGCCTGTAGTCCCAGCTACTCGGGAGGCTGAGGCAGGAGGATCGCTTGAGCCCAGGAGTTTGAGGTTGCTGTGAGCTAGGATGACGCCACGGCACTCTAGCCCAGGCAACACAGTAAGACTCTGTCTCAAAAAAAAAAAAACAAAAAACAAAACAATGTATGGAGTCACTGCCCTAGAGAAATCTGATCTAACACATGAAAAAGGACAGGACAAGAACACCAATCAAGAAGTAAAGATCTGGAAATTTCGATTCTTTCAGAATCCTAGACCTACCCAAGGAAGGTAAAGCTATTGAGAGGCCAACAATAGAGCTTATACTGAAGTCACCAGACATTAACATTTTCCTTTACTCCTAATGTTACATTCTAATTCCAACCAGTGGACCGAGGTCTTATTCAAAACAGCAAGTGTTACTCAAAAAGTAATTTAAAAAACAGAAGTTGATTTAATCCCATTTCATAAGATTAAGATATAATTTTTAGTGTTGCTTCTATCAAACACGTAAAAGAATTTTTTTTTACTATAAATTCCAGATTATTCTTCCAAATCTTTGGTTGTTTTCCAAAGAACACAACCTCTAAACAAGTTTGTAGATTTATAAACAGCTACCTTCAGTAATTCAACACTATTTTAGCCTCTAATTTACCAAATATTCTACTTTATTAGGTTTTAATCACAGGCCATTTTACAAAAGTTTCTGAACTCAGATCTTTTCCATAAATTAGAAAATTCAGAACTTTGTCATAAATTGAAAAAGCCAACCCTTAAATTGTAAAAATAATTTCACAAAATATTAATCAAAATCAACCTGAGGGGGGGGGGAAAGCCTTTGCAATGTAGAAGTTCCAAGAGAAAATAACATAATATTTTTTAAAGCAAAAGATGACTGACTGGTTTATACCGTAAAGAACACAAACAAAAGAAAAAGGAGGGAGAGCCAGGCACAGCGGTATGCGTCTGTGGTCCCAGCTACTTCAGAGGCTGAGGCGGGAGGACCTTCTGAACCCAGGATTTTAATCAGTAGTACACTATGATCATGCTTGTGAATAGCCACTGCATTCTAGCCTCGGCAACATAGCAAGACCCCATCTCTTAAAAAAAATAAATAGGAAATAAAATCAGACACCAATCACACAAGCCACAAAAATTCACATACTCAGACAAACCACCTATAAAGTAAATAAGCCTAGGAGGTTAAGGAAGTTGGAAAGAGAATACCTTTCAAGTCAAAGGAATCCCAAATAATCCAATCACACGTACACATTACATTTTCTCTCCCTAAATTGGTATAGTCAACAAATACAAAAGGCACTCTCTGGAAATTAGGTAGTTTAAATTAAATTAATAGAACTGCTACATAGGTAGATAATGCTGGGAATATAAATTAGTCTAACATTTTTGGAAGGCAAACTGGTAATGGTCAGACTAGAATCTTCAAAAGAACATGGGGGCAGGGGTGTGGGAGCAAAGGCTGGTGACAACATAGTTCTGTACAAACTCCAAAGCAGAAATGGCACAGTCTTATAGGCAATCACAATCAGGCTCATCCCTGATTGTGGGATGAGCACGATCCCTGCTCCACTGGCATGCTGGAGCACTGTGCTAGAAGGGCTCTCAGCCTACCTGAAACACACAGAATAAAGAATGACTGTCAAAGATAGAGGAAAAAAGAATGATGCCACATTTTTGCTACCATTGTCTCAAGTAACTATAATGATAAATAACTCATGTACAGTAAAATCTTTTTTTTTTTTTTATAAATGAAAGGTAAATGTTTATTGTTGGAGAAGAGAAAAATGTATACAAGGAAGTCTAGATTCTTTCTCCTCATGCACTACTTTTAGAATAAAGTTCCAAATATCAACTTTGAAGATATTTACAAGGATAAATTTTTCTCATCACATGACCATTTACTGTGTGGTGGACATTTTTTCACAGAAACCATATACACTGTAAACTAAATATATTCTTATAGTTTACAAGAAGCTTAGAGCAACAATGTATTAACAAAGAAGATGGTATTATATTTTACTGCAAAATATTATAAAAGTGATACAATTTTGTGGCTCTTAAATGTTTAATTACTTGATTTGAACAAAGCAGTGAACAACAACCAAAAAAAAAAGACACCCAGAAAAACCATCAAGACAGGGCTGGCTTTAAAATTTTTTGTATTCGATTCTTTCTACTTTCACATCATCTCCAATGAGCTGATACACATAAGTGGCCACTGTAGAAGCCTGGATATCCATTAACACAAATGATGAAATAATGTTTGTTTCCACGGCATTATATGCTCCAGTAGCAGAACCTGCGTTTATGTAGAATTTATTTTCATGTTCAAATGCTTCAAATTTGTGTGTGTGTCCTGAGATCAGAATGTCCACATCAAACTGCCTCTGCAACAAGGCTAAGCTGGCCCTATCTCCCCATGGAATAACTTGAAGTCCATGGATCAAACAGATTTTGAACTGTCTGACAGTCACAACTTTCTGTTCTGGATAATTCAGATTCTCATCGAAGTCTCCTCTAACAATATGAACATCACCAGCCAGAGTCTTGAGACAGTCATAACTCTCTTTGGTGCAAAGGTTTCCTGTGCAGAGAATGTGCTGAATCTTTCCCGGCACCAGAAGTTTTTTGAATTTAGCTGGCAAACTGTTGCACCGGTGTGGGATGTGCAGATCTCCTAATGCCAACACCAACATCCTGTCACCGGGCTCCACTCAGTCACCACAACTGCCGCTGCCCTCCTCCTCAGGCTCCTAGGCCTACAGTAAAGTCTTAAAGTAAATGGTGAGGAGGGAGGTGAGGCAGAAGGTGATAGTAACATCTTTTTTTTTTTTTTTTTTTTTTTTTGAGACAGAGTCTCACTCTTTTGCCTGGGCTAGAGTGCCATGGCACAGCCTAGCTCACAGCAACCTCAAGCGATCCTCCTGCCTCAGCCTCCCGGTAGCTGGGACTACAGGCATGCGCCACCATGCCCGGCTAAATTTTTCTATATATATTTTTAGTTGTCCAATTAATTTCTTTCTAATTTTAGTAGAGACGGGGTCTCGCTCTTGCTCAGGCTGGTTTCGAACTCCTGAGCTCAAACAATCCACCAGCCTCGGCCTCCCAGAGAGCTAGGATTACACGCGTGAGCCACCGCGCCTGGCCGATAGTAACATCTTTAAAACTTGTTCCTATGTTCCTAACTTTTTGATGCTGCCTTTCTCTGTATTTTCCAGAATCATCTTCTCCCATTCCCATCCTTCCCCCAGGAGCTGGGAAGGCCTCAGAGTAAAACATAATTATTTCAAAATGAAGAAACCAGGGCTCAGAGTGGTGAAATGATAAAACTTGATAGAAGTCAACAGCAAATTTCTGGAAGCACGATTCCACAACATGAGATAAATCATTTCCATCATACTCTTTGTTGAAGCACTGTCTGAATCAGTAAATACCTGATAAAAGTGCCCCAGACCCATCACCAGGGACAGAAATTGCTATTCAGTCTCAGCAATCTTTACCCTGAATCTTTTTCAACATAATACTCCAGGAAGCCAACAGCAATTGATCTAATTCCACAGGAGATGAAACCTACATTCCATCCTTGTTTTAATCTGACAATAATTAAAGGTAATAATTTTTAACAATGAACATTTACTGAATACTTACTATGTGCCAGACACTGTTCTGTGTTTTATATATTTTTCCATGTTTAATCCCCAAAACCTTAAGAATAGGTACTGCTATTTCCCCCCATTTTACAAGGGGGAAACAGAGACACAGAGATGTTAAAAAAGTGCCTGAACTCTAAAGCAAATATACAAATGGTCAATAAGCACACAAAAAGATGCTCAACACCATTAATCATAGAGAGAAACACAAACAAAACAATGAGATACCACTTCACACCTACTAAGATGACTATAATTTTTTAAAAGTGGAAAATAACAAGTGTTAGTGAAAATATGGAGAAACTGAAACCCTCATACATTGCTGGTGGGGATATAAAATGGTGCAACCGCTGTGGAAAAGCCAAACGTAGAATCATCACATGACCTAGCAAAAGCCACTCCCAGGTATATATCAAAAGGAACCGAGTGTGGGGATTCATAGAGATATTTGCATGCCAACGTTCACTCCAGCATTGGTCACAACAGCCAAAAGGTGGAAACAATCCAAATATCCATCACCAGATGAATGGATAAACCAAAGGTGGTACATCTATACAATGGAATATTACTCACCTATTAAAAGAAATGAAGTTCTGATAACATACTGCAACACAGATGAAGCTTGAAAACATTATACTAAGTGAAATGAGTTAGATACTGGAGAACAAATATTGTATGATTCCACTTAGATGAAATATCTAGAACAGGTAAATTCATAAAAACAGAAAGTAGAAGAGTGGTTAAGTTACCAGGGATTAGGGGTTATGGGAAAGACAGGATGGAGAGTTACAGGGTTTCTGTCTGGAGTGATGAAAAAGTTTTGGATACGATAGCACTGGTTGCACAACACTGTGAATGTAATTAATGCCACTAAATTGTATACAGGCATACCTCGGAGATAATTGAGGGTTCAGTTCCAGACCACAATAATAAAATAATTATCACAAAAAAGCAAGTCATATGAATTTTTTTGGTTTCCCAGTGCATATAAAAGCTATGTTTATACTATAATAGAGTCCATTGAGTGTGCAATAGCATTATGTCTTAAAAATATACCTTAATTTAAAAATGCTCTTCATAAAAAAATGCTAGTGATCTTCTGAGCCTTTAGTGAATTATAATCTTTTTGCTGGTGGAGGGTCTTGCCTTGATGTTAATGGCTGCTGACTGATCAGGGTGGTGGCTGCCAAAGAGTGGGGTGGCTGTTGCAATTTCTTAAAAAAAAACAACAATGAAGTTTTTCAATTGACTGTTCTTTTCACAAAAGATTTCTCCGTAGCATTCTTCCACTAAGAATGGTACCTAGAATGGTGAATCCTTACCAGAAGATTTTCAGTTTACTTTGCCCAGACCCATCAGAGAAATCTGTATCTATAGGAGCTATGGCCTTATGAAACATATTTATTAAATAATAAGACTTAAAAGTCAAAATTACTCCTTGATCCATGGGCTACAGAATGGATGGTGTGTTAGCAGGCATGAAAACAACATTAATCTCTCTGCGCATTTCCATCAGATGACCAGATGCTTCGTTAACAAGCAGTAATATTTTAAAAGGACTTTTTTACTGAGCCACAGGTCTCAAAGTGGGCTTAACAGATGTGGTGTCATCCAGGCTTTGTTGTTCCATTTCTAGAGCACAGGCAGAGTAGATTTAGCATAATTTTTAAGGGCCCTAGGTTTTCAGTATGGTAAACGAGCATTGGCTTCAACTTAAAGACATCAGCTGCATTAGCCCCTAATAAGAGAGTTGGCTTGTCGTTTGAAGACAGGCATTGATTTGCCCTCTCTAGCTATGAAAGTCCTTAAATGGCATGTTCTTCCAGTATAAGGCTGTTTCTTCCACACTGTAAATCTGTTGTTTAGTGTACCCACCTTCATCAATGATGTCAGTTAGATCTTTTGGATAACTTGATACAGCTTCTCCGTTGCACTTGCTCCTTCACCTTTCACTTTTATGTTATGGAGATAGCTTCTTGCCTTAAACCTCATGAACCAAGCGCTATTAGCTTCAAACTTTTGTTCTGCATTTTCCTTGCCTATCTCCACCTTCATAAAATTGTATTTAGGGCCTTGTTCTGGATTAGGCTTTGGCTTAAGGGAATATTGTGGCTGGTTAGATCTTCTATTTTTATTTTTTTTGAGATAGAGTCTCACTGTGTTGCC